ACGGTTGACGAGACAGCTAGTTCCCCGCCTAATTATTTCGATATAAACCGTCGGAAGTGTGATTGACCGGAGAGCTTTGATATGCCAGTGGATATATTCCGTTAGTGTTTTCCACCTCGAAGACCAGATGTTTTTAACTCGTTTCACTTCTGAAGATTTGCTGGTCGAAATCGTGCATACATCCCCTCATATCTGTGGACTGTTGCCATCCCAAGGAGCTAGAACCGCCACCACTTCAATTTGGATCGACAAACCTGGCAGTGTCCACGAATTAATATGCTCCATTGACTTTCCTGGAACCTTGATTTATACTTTTAACAAACACTTTCACTAACCGCTTTTGTGTGTATCTGCTATCCTGCATTTAACAACTACATCAAATTCATAATTGCGGTTAGAAGGGACGTGTATATAGAAGGCATTCTTGAAAAGATCTGCAGGAGATGATGGCTGCAGAGCCCAAGAATCTAGGATTTTTGACATGTATGTTTCAAAATTGCACTACGGATTGCTTGTCTAACTGCGGACAAAATGCTGACAACCAACTTCACAAATAGTCCTGTTGTTTTCCTTTCCATAGTTTGTCCACTTTTGTAAGTGAATTTCAGTGGGTCTTCATCACTGGTTGGGGTCCTCCTCAGAATAATGACCTCGTTTTATAGCGTCCTAGCGACATTTCGAGCAAGGACGGTGAAATGCGCCTGATTTGTTTTATAGTAATAGAAGAATTGCGCTGCATCTGACGCACCCCCTCCTCCTCCCCCACCTGGATCAGGCGTCATGCTAGAGTCAAGAAGACCAAAGGCGGAGGAGGGTAAAGGTGGCTGGCACGGCGAAAACCCGCACCACACTCCCTGGTCGATAAAGTTCACCGATCGGGATTTTACACAACAAGAAAAAGTGGGGCGGCACGGATCCCAGTTGGCGCGGTATGAGCCTGCAACTGGATGTACCATCGCATTCCCAATTTTGGCATTTGTTGTGAGTGCGTCTCCTGGATAACTTTTGTCGTCTTCCGACCCAACACCCCTGTTAGTTCAGTGCATCTACCGCGTGGCCCATCGGAGGGGCAAATTATTTCAGCTGAACGGGGGGACGCAATGGTAAGTTCCTAAATGTGTGCAATACTTCGGGTGTGGAGGAACTGTCCCTTCCCATTTATTTTCAGATAAATGGATCTATGAATCAACCCATCTTCTATTTTGTACGCGAAAACACCCAGTAACGCTAACTGGTACCTACCCTAGTGCTCAATCTTGAAGTCAAGCATTACATGTAATTTTGTACAGTCATTAACAATCATTCTGCAAGACTGCCAACTAAAGTCGAAATGACAGACAAACATCTACCGTGAAGCGTGTCTTTCGTCGTATGAGCTAAAGAATAAGGATAGACCGTGTCGTGACACTAATATGAGCTGTGGTATAATCGTTATTGACAACACGAACCATAAAGTCGGGTCAAGTTAGTTTTTTCGTGGCCGGTACAAACTATGAATGTAAGCCCATGAGAAAGTGCTGTTCGTTTGCTTATGGCTTTGCACGCTTTTTCTAGGTAGGATCCCCTACGTTTTTGTTTCCATCTTGACGATGGTTTAACTCGAAATCCTGCTCAGATCACTCAACACCAACCGCACCTTACTTCAGCATTACAACTGCCTTTCTCTGTCGGGTCTGTGGATGAGAACATTGTCATTCTTGCATAAATCATTCATATATGCGCTATTCTGTCAGATCAGTGGTTAATGCCATGTAAGGCGAGCGTATCGGTATTGGTATGCAGCCTGCTAGAAGTGCGGAACAACGATTGGTTCTCTGGATAGTGAACTTTGGGGCGGCTAGCCGAGAAACACCACAGACTCAAGATGCTCACACTTCGATTCTAAAGACAAACGGGTAAGATTGCATCCACCCGGTTATTCGCAAATGCAGAAGTCTCGACAACTGAAGAGTTCGAGTTAGATTCAAACCACAAGTTATCAACTGCCTACAAATTAATAAGGGTGCCTGGAGGGCCGCCATGCGTAGGAACTGGTAAAAAATCGAGGAGCACTGCATTGAGATCGCGTCTGACTTATTTGCTAACGGCAGACAGCCATAACAAAAGCCACACGGGACAACTTAATATCTGAACACGAGGCCGCAAAGCGATCAGTTAGGCAACGGGTCCACCGGTCGCGGCTGGGGTTATTCAACTTCCTAAGGTGGCGTTCATATATCTGGCTTAATTGCAGGGCAGTATATACTCTGGTTTGTATTGGGGCTGTCGCTTCCCAGCCCACAGAGCTGAATGCATGGTTTCAATAAAGCATAACCAGCTGGTGACGCCAAATAGACCAGACGTAACTACCACAGCATCCCCTGCCTCTGTCGGAAAAAACGCTCGATTAGTGTCTGTCTCTGTGTGATCGACTACCAGGACACGGGACTAGAGTTTCGGGATGAATAAGAACCCCCCGCCCCCCAACTTTGCATAAAATTTCGGAAAGCGTATCTATCCTCGTGTCCTAACCGTAATCCTAAATTGACCCCTAATCATAACCATACTTTAAACCCCAACCCTGGCCTCAACATTAGCCCTAGTCTCCCAGGGAATTATCGCAAGGTCCGCGGATAAGGGGGGGGGGGTGCTATTCCCGTGTCTTGCTGTAAAACAGAGTGCCTATCCGTCGGATTGCAATCAGGCCAAGTCGATGAACAAAACCTCCCATCAAGAGGGAGAGAGGGGAACATGATTTTCATGGGGTGAACTAGATGCCAAGAAATTCGAGAATGCAGTCGTTGGATAGTCCGAGTTCCTTGAAACCATGTCTAGAATGTTTCAATGGAGAATAATAAAGGCCTCAAAGTAGGGCAAAACAGAAGCGGCACTCGAGGCATAATACGGCCTTTGCGATCGCCGAGACAAAAATCTCAAATTCATTGGGGGAAATTGCAGTATTTGAGACGGGAACAAGTCAACTAGGAAGCTAAGGGGGAAAACTGCCTGCGATGTACAACGGGCACCATGCCAAAAGAGCGAATCAGGTAAAATCCCACTGGTTCATCTGCACTATTCGTACACCGGATGAACACCAGCACACCTTCATGTGGTTTCAAACTTCACCTACATGGTTCATAGAATCACGGCTATCCCGGGATCGAATAAAATACACCATGAACGAGTTGCATGTAGGACCGCAGCTCTGCATGAGATCGCCCGCTGAGAACCCGACCAGAGACGCAAGCAATCCCGGCAGACCAAGGAATAGGCCCTAACGTCTGGACCTCGAATCTAGACTGACCCTAGACAGCGATAGTTCGTCTGGCACGGTGTGAAGCACAACTGGTGGGGGACAGTGACGACTTGTGCGAGGTGGGGGATCATGCAGCAGCAGCCTGATGATCTCCTTAAATCCCTCTGCATTCCAATGAGAAGACTAAGTCGAGTCAATTGGGCATGGGCTTGGGCATAGCCGCCACAGAGTCACGTGACGCAACAAGGTTAGTTTTGCACCCCACTTGGGAGCAGCTTTGGAACACAACTCTGTGGAGTGGAGCACACCGACCTCTGGTTTCCTTCGCCAATCGCTGTGGTTACCGAAAGGAGGCGGTGGAATCAGAGAAGAGTACTAATTACCACGTGGTGTCCAAGAGGATCTCATGCAGCTAGGTCCTGGATGCAATCCCAACCAACCAGAATGGCAAACCCTTCCCAGGCGTCCCGCAGACATCGCATATACCCGCAGAGGCAGTCAACAGAGGTGGTTATCAAAAAAATTATTTAGTAGTTGATGTGGTATCACTAGTACCAGCACTGATCCAGTACAATACACAATCTGTACAAGCTATGCACTACGATATGTATAGAGAGAAGATTGGGAGAGAACAAAGAAGTGGAGGAGGGTAGAGTATGCGAGAGTGCTGGGCAAAAATAAAGCGCGACCAGTACGCGTGGGCGTGCGGCGCAAGCGACTGTGTTAATCACGAAGAAGACATATAAAGTCATCGGCATCAGCATCGTTATCGTCATGATTGGGAGTGGAGAGAAAGTACAGGGGCCTAAGGCTGCTCAAAGGGGATGGGGAGCAAAACACGAAGGGGACTGTACACTGTCTGCGTGTGTGTGTCGCTGTGCTTCAGTGACTGGGATAAGTTGCGGCGTCTGGGCCTTGTGCAGGTTAGGGCTGCAGTGAGAGCGGGGGTCCACTGGGAGCGGAACTATTTTGCAACAGCTGCTGGTCAGCGGACAAGGAGGGCGGTTCACCAGTCTCCCCGCTACCGCCGCCGCCGCCGCTGGACTGAGATTCTATGAAGGCAAGGAGTGGGGGTTTGCTGTTACTGCTGGAACTGACAGCTTGAGTTCCGCTCGTAAGCAGACCATCGCAGAGAAGGGGTGCGGTCTTCGAGTGTTGCTGTTGTTGGGCGAGCTCCTCCTCAAAGCCATCCACGAGGGGCAGGAATTCTGGAATTTTTGGATTGTCAAGACCGGGGTTCTCAGAGGTGGTGTGGGCGAGGCTGGCAGAAAAAACTGGTGGTGGTGGTGGCGCTGCGGTTCCACCGCTTCCTCCAACGAGGAGAAAGCCGAAGCCAGCGTCCACATCTACAGAAAGAAGAACATCGGCCTCAGGCGGTCGGCAGAAAGAACAAAATGCAAGACAAGAAACTCGACCGGTTCATGCAGGGCGGGAGGTGGAGTACCAGAAGGCTCCTAGAAGCATATTCTACGACAAGGAATCCCTAGGCAAATGGAAAGGAGCTACGGAGAGCATTTGGCAGCAGGAACAAAATCAGCCACTGAAATGGCGTCCCAACATTGGCATTACACGTCCCTGGCATACGCCCATTCCCAATCACAAGGAAAGTGCGTATTAGAAGAAACGATCTAAAAGCCAGGAGTAAAGAAATGGAGGATGAACCTAAGCGCAACTACCTGTTCCCCAGTCTATACACACTAACTTAAGCAACTCATAGGTGGCAAAAATGGGAAAAAGTAGTTAGCGATAGTAAAAAACCATGTTGCCAAAAACAATTTCACCAGTAGTTAAAATCGCCTTCAGGGGTAACAGCGGATGAAGAGTTCGCTAGGATGCTCACAGGACGACAGACGTTTCAAAGAGCCATTTCGACTCCTCATTCCGAGACCACAGGAAATCTACGAAAACGAGGTCTGAGAGCCTAGCAGTCCGACGCGTCAAAAGGCGGCGAGTGTAAAGGGTTCGGGCGGAGGCTAGGTGAGAGACCGGCTCTTGTGGTTCGGTGATGGTCTGGCGCATCGTAATGTCACAAGCTAAAACGGTGTTTAATGTAGCCTACCAACAGTTACGGTCCCATTCGTCGTCCGTCACAATCCCGGACAATTAAATTGATTTCAGAAGGAATGCAAAAAGCCCATCTCCGAATAGGGCTCTGTAAGACACCCTTCCTTCCCCGCCCTTCTCCTTCGTCCTCTCTTCTCGACCCGCCATCCGACTCCGATGGCAAGAAATTTTCAAGTAAACCCGGGCCACAATTGTCAATTCGCCGCTAGCATTGACGATCTGCTGTACATGCAAAGTGACGCTGTTAAACTAGGGGCATTATACCATGGGTCGTGCACTGAATCCACCCGTCTCGGAGCCAAAAGAACACTTTGGAAAGTCAGACGTCTAACAAGCGTATCCGTTAGAGCCGGTGCTCCAGTCAAAACAAATCCAGCTTGAAAACATGCTTAACTGACGGGTGGAGGGAAATAAATCTCAAACTGGCGCGTTGTGAGCATATTATGAAATCCAAAGTGATTCTCAGTGAACAGCAATAAAAGCACTGAAGACAGTACCACCAAGAATGACTGGAAAGACGCAAAAGTGATCAGCACAGAGTCCTGATACAACCCTAACTTAGTGGATGCACGACCCTCTAAAACGGCAGATCAGTAGCGAACAGAGAAGAAACATGTGGGTTTTGGGGCTGAGATACAACAGCTTCGGGTGAGTACGCATTTTGCAACATGACACCAAACATAGAAGACTTGAGGCATCATAAAAATTGGAAACTATAAGATCGATTAAACGAACGGACATGACGCGATTTTTGCTTTTATTCTTTTAATCACATTAACTGCGGTTGGCTGACAAGTTTCCACCTTAAAACTGGTTTAAACGGGGCACCTGTGCATACGGCGCCCAGTCTTCTTTATACTGTGATAAGGCGTCAGACGAAGCGGCGTCGCAACTTAGATCGACGCGCACTTCCGTTCTGTTTATTGTACCAAGACGTTGTCTACCGCAAGCCAACTGCGGGATCTGTCTCACCTGCTCGGCGTCTATCTTAACTGCCTCCACAGAGAGATTGCTTTCCACCAAACAACACCAACATCAGCGCAGTCTCGATAGAGTAATCTGATTTCCAAGAGGTAGCAATAAGTATGGACCAGACGGATTTACGCAGACAAGTTTATCTAATTACTCGTCGCCAGGATATTGCTGAGAAATCGTGCAAGACGCTGGAGGCGAACGTATTGTCACTGGCCACTACGCGCAACGACTTTTAATCCGAGACTGCGTTGTCCTTCCCCTTCCATCCCACTGGGCTCACACTGAGTTCAAATACTTGATGGAGAACCTGGCATCCGACGACTCCCGTGGCACGATAGATCTCCGAAATCCGATCCCAACAGACATGCCAGTAATCACCTGGAGCACAGAGTTCAGTCGATAGAAGTACGGTCTACTCCGTCGTCGTCGTCCTCAATTACGTGGAAGCACATGCGTCAGACAATGGCGCTGTGAAGGACCAAGAAGGTCCGGGCTCATTGTTTGGCGTAGGTGGGCAGAATGAGAAGTGAGGTAGATGGAAAGCAAAGCTAATTCACTATCAATAAGTTCATGTGCAAGTCGCCACGGCATCGTCTTCTAGACAGTGTTGGCCCCGCCGCTTGCAGGGGACGAGCTTAATATAAAAGGGCAAAGGATAAAATGGCCTGACGAACGATCAACGCTGTTTACCTAAGAGGCAACACCCTGTAAACATCTGTGCTCATTTACCGGCCTCCTGTTCGGTAGGCACGGCTGGTAGCTACATAATCGAATCCCTGGATGTAACTCAAGATCCTCCAGTGTGATTTCACGGAGGTCCTAGCGGTAGGGAGCTCTTCAACATGACACCGCGCATATCTTAAAGACCTGACAGGCGAGAGGGATCGGTCTGCAGACATTATTATTATCGTCGTCATCACCAGCACAACCATCATCACAGATAAATAAAAAAGAGCCGACAGACACACGAGGTTTTCGACGAGCCTTTTAACCGTCGGCATTTCCCTGGACGCATGCAGACCTGAAATCAATTTAAAACTCTCATGGTACAATTACTGGCTAAAAGCATGCAGTTATGGCAACAAAGAGTAGACATGCGGCCGAGAAAACAGGAAGAAAAATAAGCAGGCGAGCAGGTAGCTGTCGGAGTTGTGGGCAGGGGCGCAGAAGGAGGCGGGACATGAAACGAAGAGCGATAATCGTGCACGCAACAAGCAAACTTTCAGCCGCGGTGGCTTTCGGCACTGTATAAAGTCTTTATCATACCGGCAAATTAGAAGAGGGGAGAGAGTGGGGAGAAGAAAGAAGTTCACTGTTGGAAGGAGGTTGCTCTTACTGCCGCGAATCGATACGAACTCCTCCGGCAACTGGAACTGGGACAACATCACCTTTGTAAGGGGATTAGGGAAGCAAGAGGGGTTGGATTTTACACGAATACATTAGAAAAAAAGGAGGAAAACTGGCGAGGATGTTGTGGCTGCCGCTCGTCATGCTCCTCAAAATGTGCTGAGATGTAGGTCATGTGGAAATCATAGATGGCGCGCCACTCTTCTAATACACAACGCGTGATGATTGCTTCTGGCAACAAGCAAGCTGTGAACTACTTGCGCGAATGTGAAGGGTCACTTTTTACGAGCATCTCTGAGTACTCACCAACGCCAGCTGTCGAACAGCACGATAAAGGAACCGTCTATTCTCAGCTGAAAAAGTTAGTTGAAAAACGTCCTCGTCGTGCTCTGACTGTTGCCTCGGACCGGAGCTCGGCGACTTTTCGGTCACTTCATTGGTCGCTTCGAGTTTAGATTGCGATGTGAAAATGGCGAGTGGATTTTGAATTTTACCGACCGAAACCGACTGGCTGTCACCAGTACGTACTTCCAGTACTGAATCAAACATCAGCTGGGCTGGTACTCAAACGATGGCCCTACGGTTAAACAGATTGACTACATTGTAGTCAGTTCAAGGTTTCCTGAATGGGTTCGTGATTACAAATCGATGCGCGGTACCAAACCTGGCGACACCCATAGGTTACACCATATGCTCGGTAGCACAAGCCAAAAAGTTCATCCATCATTCGCACCAAAATTGTCACGTGCAAGACTTCTTGATGTTACAAAAACACGACGAAGCAGCACAGTCGGAGGAGAGGGTAGTACTATATGGTCATTGTTGACGTCAGCAGTCTGCTAAACGGTTGAGCAAATTCTTAGATTAATAGAGCGGGACCCCAGTGACTAGATATGCGGAAGACCACTTTAGATGCCTGCCCAGATGGCTCGAGCAAGGTCCCGCAACAGTGAGTCATTCCGCCAACTCCAAAATAACGGCAAATTCGGCAAAAAAGTGACCGCAAAAACTCTTGGACTGAAATAAATTCGCTAACGGAGCAGGTCTCAAACGTCGGTGGCACTTGAAAACTCTACCAATTAAGCGACCGTTCGCGGTGTACCTAGCGGCTTTGTGGCTGACACCTCGGCCAAGGCTGAGCGTCGCCTTCAGTACTTTAAGCACCTTCTTAGTTTCGACGACCAGCCTACCATGTGGCTCCCTCTTAGGGGTAGATCGCTGATGCAATAAGTTGACCGCAAAAGGCCCGGAAGAGAACGGTATCCCGCCGAAATCCACATGTCCTGTGTTAACTCTGGCGTCCTGACTCCATGAGATGAGTGAGCAAGCGTGGGGTAGATGAGTTCGTTCTTGATGATCGGGGCTTGGGTATCCCTGCGTCCGTCTTTAAGGACGGAGGGAAGTCAAAGTGCGAAAACTACTGCAAAATAAACCTCATCGACGTTGCTGCAAACGTCTTCGTTGCCGTTACTCCGAGGTGATATCAGAGTGGACTTGACTCGAGGACGAGACCCAAACAAGCTGGGTTTACAGCAATGCTAATCATATATTTACATTGTGACGCATTTTTGAATTCTATTACGGCTACCAGTAACTGACGGTTGTCTGCTTCGTTGACTTCGCCGCAGCGTCTGATCCCGCCTATCGTGGGTCCGTATGACGGATAATGCAACTAAACGGTACGCAGGCAAAAGTAATTGATATGATCAGCGCCTGGTCTCACTCCATCACAGCACGAATTTTGTTCAAAACAATCTCTCCCAACCGTTGGATATTCGATCTGGGGTTCGACAGGGTCGTATTTTTTGCCTATTCTATCCAACTACGCCATTGACTAGATTCTAGGAAGAGCCCTACGCGGCATTGAGAATGGCAAATTTGCACCTGTGAGCCAGCCGACTAATCTCGAGTGCACTGACGATGCCATGCCTCGACCAGTGGTAACCTACAAATTGTGGCGTCGCGGGTGAACAAAGTCGGTAAATACGTCAGTTAATGCGTAAACGCTGGAAAGTCCCGTGTTTTCGAGCGGCATCCCTGGCCAGAAGGCACTCTGTGGAATTAATGGCCGTCAACTTGAGGAAGTACAGTCTTACATACCCCGGATCTCTCGGGCGCCTCTAGGTAGGTAACGACAAAGTATCGCGGACAGCAACACTGAATTTATGAGGTGGAAGGCGCAGGTGTCTAAACCACCCCAGTCGTCTTTCTTGGATGGTCTGAGATGTGCTTGCGTGAATGGCTGCGTAGCGAGCTCCGACCGTCTTATTTGAGGTGACTTCAGCGTACTTCACCCCAGGGATGGTTTTGAGGCGACGGTGATCATCTTTAAAGATGATCGAATTATATTAAATACTTTTTTATGTGGTGGGGCAAGGAATTAGCCGAAATCCAAGGAGTGCAGTGAGTACTACAAAATGAAAGCGATGTACTTCCTAATCCGAATAGGTCCAACACGGTCAGATAAAGAATTGGTCTACCTCTGACAAAACCTTGATTACAGGAGTACGCTGAATGGCAACTATAGAGGTGTGGAATACCAGCAATAGAAAAAAGTAGCTGACAAAACGCCAGCAGAAGTCATGAGTAGCCGTCGGCGATTAGTGCCCGCATGTCAGACGTTTGCCCAGTAACTGCGGGAATTTCCGAGCATGGCTTTCTAAAGATCCTAAGCTGTGCCTAGTCCACCGAAAAAAACGACGGGGTGTGCTGAAGGGGCGCGGAGGGCGTATAAAAGTGGCCGATAACGGCGGAGAGAGGCAGAGGCAAAACTAACCGTGCATTATCATATTTCCATTGGAGACTGATTGGGCACCACTGATCTGCTTGGAGGGGACCGCAGCCGTTAGATCACTACTGACGGGTGGCAGACTGAGGAAACCATTAGGGCCGGCGCTGGTAGGTCTTCCGGTCTCAGAACGGCTATCTGGCCGACTGACGGAGGAGGGTCCAGAACCTTCAGATCAGGAACCGGGTTCAAAAGAGTGAAGGAGGGTGAACCATGGTTAGATTCGTCATTTCGATCAGTATGGTTAAATGGGCGTCCAAGACTGAGTAACTAGGTTTACGTTGCACGCCTTATAGGAACATAACGAGGGAACGAAGTGTGAAATTCGAATAAGCGAGTGATAGAGGTCATATGCGCCTGCTCAGGGCAGATTGCGACACAACGGCTCGTCGAACGACGTCTCACAACAAGCCCCTTGAAGAAAATAATTTCCTCTTCCACGCGCTGAGAATGAGTGGACGGAAACGAACGAAGTGTGTCTCCATATAATCGTATTTCCCCATGACGCTGCACCTTATGCAGGGTCTGTAGAATAGTTAAACGTTAAAAGTATACGGGTCAGCCAGCCAGGAGTGTATAGGTCGGAACATCAAACGCAATGAAGCTTGGAACCGATGGGTGTAAGGATCGAAAATGTCGAAGACCAGTCGGTTGTTATTCCATTTTGGCTTACCTTTTAAGAATAGTGTTTTTATTCGAAGGAATAATAGAATGTTGGGCAACGTAAATCGGCTGAGGCAACGGTAGATTGAAGGACTCTACTTAACTTTTAGTGAACTGCGGATCGTGTCATATGGGGTTTTATATCGACATCCATTTGCAGGCCGTTGCCAACATGAGACTGCCAACAACAATTTCTTCCCCTGACCTCAAACCATTACTCAAACTCCGTCATTTTTTGAAAATTCGCCTTTTGTCTATTTTTTAATTAAGAGGCTTATTGCCGTTGCCACAGGAAAGCGTATGATACGGCTTTCGACAGAGATCCAAACAATTTCCGTGTTTTCTCTTCATTAAATTACTGTCTGGAGTGCTGCCCCACCCGTAAAACCCACCTTACCACCATTACTGCCTGACACGATCTAGTCTGCAGACAGGTAAGTGGGGTCCTTCACCTTATCGTTGCCATAGAAGAGAACAGCAGGGGTAGTCCGAGTATTTTTTAGCGAAAAAAGTTACAAATGAAACCCAACTAAGCAGCTATGACTAGAGCACTGCAATTTACAAAAGTAATCATACATTTAAATGAGGCTGCTCGGGAATTTGGGGAAGAAACGCGAATATTGGCTGTTATGCAAATTTGTTTAAACAAAACTTGAATAGCATACTTCGATCATAAATGACTATAAGAGTTGCGGAAAGTCAAAAGTGGTGTCGTTTTAAAGACGCTGGCACAAAAAAGTGCACATGCATCTGCAATGCACAGTCAGTTAGTGGCAAACTACCTACAAAGCTTCCTGCGTCGCACCTAACCAAGACAAAGTCAATTTCCGAACAAGAGTGGAAGTTCGGGTAAAATCTGACGCACACGCCACTGCTTAGCATCAAGGCCTTAAACACAAATTTAGAATTAAACCCACATAATCCACTTCAGCATGGTGACTGCGGTCAAACTGTAAATCACGCTCGACAGAAATACACCGATCTATCCTAATTATAGATTCTAGGCCATTTCGGTCTGCAGTTGCCCCAGGCGGTCGAACAACGACAAGAAAACCACAGTGTAAGGGGAATATTGATAAAAATAATAGACAATGCACGTTAAGTCACGGACAACTTGATGCTACCCGACCACCTATAAGGGCCCGGGACGAAGTCAAAATGGCCGTCCATATTCCATCCTGTGTGACTTTGAACAGTCTGAATCGCGGCAGACAGGATATGGGTCAGTAGTTTGAGTGGTCAAACGCTTGACATGAACGGCGATCGCTTACCATCTGACATGCTTAAAATTTTAGATCTCTTCGGCCTGGTGTTAGAACGCGGACTCTGGAAAGAAAGCCTGAAGCGCACCGTTGAGTCGCCTTTGCACTCGTCTATAACATTCTTATAGGAATGAGTGCAACGTTGCGCTGATAGTGACTCGTTCAACAAATTACAATTGACTGAGGGTCGATGATTCTGTCTCCGCGGGCAACACCACTTATACAGAAGTGGGAGTTTCAAGGGTCTCCGTTGTCATCGGCCTGAAATGAGACGTACGCATCTTGAGCCAGTGAGACGCACGTGACGTAAAGAGCTTCACTCAGCAGTTACGTGCATTTTAACTGGGCTGTCGCGTTGGAAAATTGACGGTAGAGACAGACACGAACGAACAACGCTTAGATCTGCGGCAATTTTTTTTCAACAGACGTAAGGCTGAATAGCAAAGGGGAGACTGGAATGGCCATTTCCGGCTTATTATCCGTCGTCAGCCAATCATATCCAACGCCGAAGTGTAGGACGCTAGGGCGCTGCTGTGCGGCTGCTGGTTGGGCCCGAAAGAGTGCCCCAAGGCACAATGGGACGATCGCGTTCCATAAAACGAACGGTGAGCGTCCTTCTACCAGACATAAAGTTTTCGATCTGAGAACAACTACATTACAGACGCAAAGATTTAGTCGAAGGTTAAAACCGCGTCCGTTCAAAGGGTTGGTTAGTGTGAACAACGGCTTACCACTCGGAAGTTGAGGCCTAAGTATGTAAAAACTTGAACTCCTTTAACGACCACATGCTGTTGAGCAGCACGACAACTAACGTAAGATCTCGTCCCAGGTTCCGTCGACCACCAGAGCCCATCACGGTTCTCAAGCATAAATTCACATAAGGAGTAAACAGTGGTGAGCAAAGACATAATTTGCCGAGGTCTGGAGGCCTTTGATGAACTGGAGGCGATTGTTAAGAAGATTAATGGACACCGCTACGAACCTTGCGGGAGACCGCGGGGGATGTGTGATCGCGTTGGGGGAGCTAAGAACTAGCGAAATCAACTATGACTGCAGGACGACATGCTAGGACAGCGCCCTTAAAGTCCTCGATGTTATTGTATCGATACTTCTGTTTCCGAGCTTCATTGAACACTTGGAACCGGAGACGGAGTAATTTTTATAGAGTGCAACCAATGCCTATTTTGATTGGATAGCCGCATTTAGCATGATAGTAAGATCGACCAAGCAGCTGCAGCGATGAATAGCATATCAACTTTGACTATTATGTGATACGATTAAGATGAGTCCACTACAACAAGTATAAACGCTGTCTAGACTGATAAGACATTGTCAGGAAGCCCAGATAGCTTCTAAAGAGTGAAAGAAGCGAAAATCGTGCATCAGGGCCACGACGTGATTTACACACCACTAAAATTAACAAATGAACACATAGAGGATAATGCAAAGGAGATAATTACCGTCCAGTACGGGATGGGAATTAGGTCCACTGCCGGTACGAGGTCCATGGGCAGGTTTCGGCATCATTGGGGAGGGCGACATCTGGCCAAAGGCACCACCACCTCCACCTCCTGCACCAGACTGAGATGCGTAGGCAGCCAGTGGTGGGGACTGGAATGGGGTGCTAGCGGCGAAACTGCCGTTGGGACTGTTCAGGGCAGGACTTTTTTGAGGGGGGAAGGCCACCGCGTTGTTGTTGACAGAGCCTGGCGTCATGCTTCCCCCAAGTCCGTTGCTAGGCGGCATGCCGGTGTTGGAAGAGGCCGATAACGGGGGCGGTGGCAGTGGTGGCGGTGGGGTCATTCCCTCAGTGGCACCTCCGAGGGGCATTGGAAAGCCGGAACCGGCTCCGACGACGGGAGATTGGCAGGATTCCGTTTTAACAGTTGGCACACCGGACCCTAAAACTGAAGATGCGCTACTGGAACGCGGTGGCTGGCTGCTCATTCCCATATTGGACTCTGGGCAGGGCAGACTGGGTGGCGCAAACACTGCGCTGTTGGCTGAAGAACACAAGAACAGATGATGGGCTTGTTAAAAGCAGTAATCTTCGTTCTTTTAAATTAAATTTTTTGAGCGGGTCACAGCCAGCAAGTAAGGGAAGCATTACTATCAAATTGGGTTGGGGGCGAGACCAGAAGAGGCAAAGTGGAAAGGAAGGAAGATCGCAGAAGTCATGGGAAGGGCAAACACAGAAGACTGTCTAAAAGCCCGAATATCTTCAGCAATTACAAAACGACAAGGACATAAGTTTGGGACAATAGCACGAGAGGGATAGATTTGTTGCCATTTTTTTACATGTAGTAGCCATCGCACACTCAAAGCCTCGCTTATCAAATCAACCGGCCTTGTGGAGGGTTATTAGTTAGCAGAGGGTTATTTATGAGGAAAGCAACATAAAATCAACGCAGTATTGCAATCCAAGTCCATAAAACACTCGCAACTGCTGTCTACTCCTTAGGGTGAGATCGCCAAAATAATGTAAGTTCACGGCCTAAATGGAATTGCATTAGTTGGTAAATGTGTTTAGGTAATATGAAATACTTACTAAGATTGATATAAGTAACCAAGTTTGTGTGGCTTGTTTCGGGAACTTTGAATTTTCTGAACAGCGAAATAAAAAATGGAAATAAGCAGGACCATAGGGTGATGACCTACATAAATGTAGTTTAGTAAAGAAAATGTGGAAACTGGTTTAGAGCTACAACAATGGAAGACTTGTGGGCGCGGCCCAAACTGACTCAGAAATCCGAAGTGAGAAGAAGAAATTTCAATAATAAGATGCTCAGAAGAAACTCAAAATCATATCTAAAGGAAATCAGGCCAATCGTTAAAAACGTGATAAAAACGTGGCCCGTAGCTCATACAACATCCGCAAGCTAAAGGCACTCAACCGATCGTGACTGCCTCCTGTATAAAATGGTTGGCAGATTTATCTCTAAAAAAGTAGGCCTCAAGGGATTTTATGATGAAGGCCACGTACAGGAATTTGTCGGCGTCGGCGAGAGGATCCTAGAATGTGCAGTTTGGGTGGGTGGGGCACTAGAAGGCATTCCATGCGGCTGCGTGGGCATCATCGAGGAGCCGGGACCCATCATGTAGGGAGGCACAGAACCAGAGACGGAATTCGGATGACTTCCACCACCGGCACTGAATGGGCCCATACCTGACACCACGTTTGGTGACTGTTTCAGAGCCATCTGCGACTGCTGCTGTTGCTGCTGCTGCCCTGGCGGTGTGGCGGAGATCGGTGGATGAAGCTGGCCCCCAGGAGAGCAGAAATTGTTGGGGGCACTGTATGGTGGATGGGAGTGGTGGCTATACATCATGCCACTACCACCACCACCGGGTGATTGGCTGGGCATGGGCGGCATAGGGCCAGCGCCGCCGCCGGGAGAGGAGAGCATTGGACCCAGAGCGGAGGAAGAGGAAAGGGGCTGCTGTTGTGGTGGGGCCGAAGACGGACTGGGGCCGAATCCACCAGGCGGGAAACTCCCACCGCCACCAGTTCGGCCTCCTCCTCCTCCGCCACCGCCGCTAAAGGATGGGGGTAATGGACCCCCGCCATTGCCGCCAATCATGACCATTTGCTGTTGCTGGACTGCTGCGGCGGCGGCCGCGGCTGCTGCTGCGTCGTACTGAGTGTTTTCCAGGCGTGTGATCAGACGCTCATCGTCCTCGCCAAAATCGCCGCCCATCAGAGTAGGCTCACCCACGATCATGACATCCTGTACAGGTGTTGGGGGAGGGGGTGCGTGAAAAAGTAATAGTATGTAGAGTTCACGCTGTAGAGGCGGGGCACTATATGAAAACTGTCGTAGTAGTCAAGGTCCATGCCAGAGACAAAAGGGCGAGAGATGCGTTCGAAAAGGCGCTGTGAGATGGAAAGCGAATGAATAAGGGCTACTGGGCAGTCTTAAGTCCATTTGGATAAGAACATTTCTAACCGAAATCTCTTCCTACAGCGACTGTGAAAGGTATCTGCTTCGAAAGATGGAACTACGTCACATGTTGACTTAGTATCCCAATTGCCCAATGTATCGGTAACCAAGCCGGCAACCACCCCTTGTCGGAGGCGACACAAAGATGGAACAACACACGAGGAAAGGACAGGATTCATCCCACAAGGACTTACTGGATATGAAACATTTGGATTTGCTTTCCCAACTCATAAAGGTTGACAGTACAATGTTCTGGTGAAAGAACGTCGCGTAGAAAACTTTAATATGCATTACCTCACTCGGGGACGCTGGAAAACTTGTGAATTAATTAGACAGTGAACATCCTGTCTTGGGCTACTTTATCAAACGTTTCAACGATTACTGCTTTACCAATACCCTCTACAACAAACCAAAAATAGCGATATTTTAACTCCAGTTCTAACCACGTCATAAGTGAGAAAATGGAAGTAATACTGTTACTTTGGGAGGGAGAAAGGATTCGCCGAGACAGATTTATTGCTCTATTAACATTTTGGAAATTGGTCGGCTCACCGCCATCTAGACGTTAGACGCGCAAAATCGAAAAGAAATTCAAATGGCTTGCCGAGCCGAACAAGCTCTCCGAAACGTCAGCGGTGCAATAAATCAGTTCCGGTGTACCTCTCTCCCACATTATCACCCCGGATTTCTCAACTTTGTCAACCAGATCCCCTTATTATTCCGACTGGGGATGAGCTGTACTTTATGGATGAGGCTTTATGATGACGGCTGAAGTGAAGCCATTTTGGCAATAACCAAGACTGGATGCGGATCCCAAAGGACTACTCCATAAGAAGTGTGGAGACAAATATCAGACCCAAATACCTCCAATGGACGGTGACTTGCGCGTGAATTAGTTTACAGTGGTAGTAGACTTGAGCAGCATCTACAGCACTCTCCTCCACCACCTGGATCCGGCGTTAAAACAGAGCCAGCGAAGGCGGGAGAGGACGCAGGCGGCTGGCACGGCGTAAATCCGCACTAACGCGTACTACTGCACCCCGTGGTCCACTAACCAGGATTTTATACAAGAAAAAGGGAGAGGCGACTTAGACCCCAATTGGCGCGGTATGGGTCAGCACGTGGCCCTGCTCTCACGCCCCCCTCCCATTGTTGGCATTTGTTATGGGGCGCGCACTCCTAATAACGCTTGCCGGACTCCGACCTAGTCACCGTGTTGGTTCGGTGCATCTACTGCGTGGCCCGTTTTGAGGACAGGTGTGAAAGGCATGCCGATTCAGTTATCGTTGGGTTTTCTTGTGACTCCTGGTGTTCAGAAAGCCTTCAGGGTATTCGGGAATTTGATTAGATGAGAACTCCGATGGTATCAGTGATGTTGTGCTCGTTAGGGCAATTAATGGCATTCGGGTAATTCATTCGTTGGAAGTGACATTTTGGCACAACGAATTTGGGATTGACTTCGAGGTCGACCTCGTGGCCATATAATGTGATTGGCGGCATAAAAAGAATTTTCATCAGTTACTGTGTGAATTATTCACAAGGCTTTCAACGGGTTTCTTTTAAAAGCCCGAATTTTTAACAATCCTGCTTACCCGCGGCCTAAGAGCAACTTATACTGCAAAAGTAATTACGCTGCCCATACCGTATGCGAACTAGGCACAACCCTTCATCTTCTTAACGCCAGGGCTGCTAAGGGCAACATTTTCCTTTTAAACCACTACGAACTGAAATGGAAAGAGGTACCTGAGGGTTTCAACGGCTTGGCGTAATTTATTCGCAACACAGGACATTTTGTATTCTACAAGCGGGCTAGAGACAGGGAAGACTTATTGCTGGAATAGTGTTCACCATCAAGCACGACGCGGTGTGCAAAAAAGTGCTTTCCGCGTTTAGAACGGCGTTTCAAAGAAATAGTGGCCGACCACTTTGCTCCTCTCGTCGACTTGCCAGTGCACCCTCCCCCGAAACGTCATCGCGCGCACGCGAGCACGGTGTGTGCCTTGGCTCGCCAGGACCGGTATTTCCCCACGACACGCAGTGGGTCCAGTAGGGGCGGCCTACCTCTCCTCGTTCAATTACTTCTTGATAAGCAAGATCTCCCTTACATACCATGGCCTTTTTATGACTAACTAGGTGGCTTTCAATTGATTTCATTGGTAGATGTCCTCAAGTTGTTTGTATGAGCGTCCACTACAGGGACGTTTACAAGGCAGAAGCAGGAAAAGTCAAAAGTCCAGATGGGTCCTTGAGCAGGAATGCACGTATCCAAGAGCCCGATGGCGGCGAATTTGAGTCACTCAAGTGTTTGTTAGAACTCTTTTTGAGAACGGCACTAACAGTGCACAGTCTATCGAGTAACGTATTGACTGGGCGGATTAACCTTTGCCCACCTCGGTAGCAGACATCTTGTTAATTCCCAGTCAGGTCTTTACTGCCCTACTCTGACCCCTTGGCGAAGGTTGAAATTGAGGGGAAGAGTGTGGAGCAATGCGGCTCACTTACTCCGGGTTGGGCCAGACTAGGCTGTGGTATAGGAAGGGGTGACTGCTTGCGCTTGGAGGCACGACTTCCGCCGGCGCCGCCTTCAGAATTTGCCGAGGAGCCCTTGCGTTTTCGGCGCTTGTTAGCTTGTCGATTTGGCTCTAAAGTTGTACAAAAACGAAGGATTTAGATGAAACAGCCTGTGGCCTGCGTGAGGCTATGTTAGAGAAAAACGTTCTGCATTGAGTGGCTGGAAGGAGGAGGGGATGAAGCCCAAAAAACCCTGATGAAAGGCCAACAGACGCCTGAAAATCATCACTGTTACGATCGTTCTTCCTAGGATCGTGCTGTCAAAACTAGTTTTTGTCTTCGCCCTCCCTCAGTTAAGTTTTTTCTCCGTTGCCATCCATGGCTTCTGACAAATAAAAAGTAGGACTATTTGTAAAATGGTTTGGGGGATAAAAAAACAGTGGTCATATGCCATGAGATTGCGAAGGGTCGTTAAAAAATGCATGCCTACACAAAGAAACGTATGCCGGAGAACTTAAGCTTCAAACAAATTGTGACTTGCCATAGCCGACTTCCCTACCGCATAATAGTGGATGCGCTGCCCGATCGCCGATCGGTTCAACGCCTGTCGTTTGGAAACAAACTATCTTGTGAGTGGCAATTACGAATCGTGTAGTAAGCCCATGCGGACACAGTACTGTAAACAAACTACCCATGCCATACGGTTATAGAAAAACGACGGAAATCGGCGCACGCAACGTTCCCGATCCTGGTGGGCTATCTCGAACGAGCAACCTTCACGACTGCAATATCGCCCCGCACTGGAATTTTTCTGTGAATAAACTTAACCTGACACACTCGTCGCCAGCCAGTCCGCGGAATGCTGACGATGTATCGATCACAAGTTATTATATACGTGAACCCGTGGGATAATATGCATGTATATAAAGAGCTCGTTCTCTGCTTTAAACATCTACCAGGCAAATGGGATAGTCAGATATCCATTTGTCATTGGTCAGTTAACCCATGCGAGAGAGCACGGTTTTCACTGACAAGGAAACATTCTATAAAAGCTGGACGTACAGTATGCAGCGAAGTACTGGACGAATTTCAGGAGTAGGAATTAGAAAAATAGGTCGGCGAGCACTCGGGTGGCTTATTTTAAAATTTTAAAAAGGTCCTGCTGTTTTACACTTTCCCTATGCCGCATGGCCACATGGCAAAGTGCCTGTGTTTGATGTTACAAACGAGGCGGTATTCCGAGCAATTTTTTGCTTTCGAATGTATTTACTGTCCACGGAAAAGTCACAAGCGCCAGCATACTTTTACTGCAAAACATTTTAACTGGGAACTGCGCTAGGTGGAACTGGCGCATACGCATGATTCCGGAGCCTGGCGACTGATACGGCACGAGCTCTCGGCCAGGCAGGAATTTAGGGGCTGCTCGCTAAAAGCTGAATACTATGAGTAAAAAATAAAAATATATTGTGCTTCAGAGAAGCAGTCAACTAAAAAGAGGGCTTTTTAAAGGGACTGACGAGTGAGATGTAGAAAAAAGTATGCAAAGAGTGCCCGGGACAAAAAATCACTCTTCTGCATTAAATGTCCAAGGAGGCTTTACTCACGCAGTGCGCAATATACACAGTGAAACCCAACAAAGAAATCGGCAACTTAATCCGGCAAACGTACTCAAGTCCAGCAGGGGTCTACTAAGGTTACACAGAGTGAACGTCTGCCTCACTTCTCTTTGATGTGAAGAAAAATTATGAAAAAGAGTCGGCTAGGGGTCACGTAATGTTATCACCAAGGTCCTTGGCTCAGAGAGGTAACCTGGGTACGTTTTCTCACGTGCAGATCGAGACACTTTCGTTGTGATCGCTGCTTCGGAAGTCCAGTCTGTCTTAAAAAGACTACATCCATGGTAAGGTGCCTTATGTGCGGTCTGGTTTCCGCTAGTACATAATTTTGAAGCAGGACGGGCGCTGGGTTAGCCATTTATGAAGTCTTTAGCACAGTATGCAGTGCACCTATAATCGTAGAACGGAGCTTACAGGTAGGGATAACATGAGCTGTTCAAAATAAAAAGAAAATGAGGTTTGTTTAGTCGCGACTGACAGATAGTGCAGCAGAAAAGCACATATGAGGATGAAATGTGCCAATCCCCTCTCTCTGGAAAAAAAATGGAGGACGTGGGGCGTTCATCGGCGGAGTACTCTAGGGAAGCACTTTTCACAGAAATAACGTACAACAGAAGGTTTAAAATTTGATCAAAATCTAACTCATGGCAGGCCTTCATTGCGGACGTCCAATTTCCTGTGATTAGATTTGATACTTAGGTCTGCAAATATGGTCTATCGCGGCACTAGCGTAGCACCCGAGAGCACCCTGTATGGGTATATGCTTCCAAGAGTCGTCTTAGTTTGAAGGTTTAAATAAACAAGGCTATAGAATTTATTTTTGGCGATCGACTGAAAATCGCAAAATAGTAAAGGAAGCCTAGAAACTCAGAGGATTTCACTGTCGCCAGAAAACACTGATGTTGCGAAGGAAAAATTATCCTGATACGCAAAAATCACATGTTTATGACTGTATTTGCTAATTATACTCACATGTTTAGTCCATAATTGGTTTCCGGGCATGTAATTTCATCAAAAACTTCGATTTCTGTGGCGTTTCTACCCACGTAATCAATCGAAGCCCACGTCTCGGGCAATATGTAAAAGAACTTGCACCAAACTCTCGTAACACCACTTTGAAACACCTAATCACATACTACATTAATAACTGCCTATTACGTTAATTTTCGGAGGAAATATTACCTGAGAATTACTTCGACGGTGTTTTATGCGTTGCTACGTCTGTGCTGTTTTAGTCGATGTAATTCTACTTCCCAGACGATGTACTTTGAATCTTTTCAAAGTGATTAGATACTTCGTTAATTTGGACATTTTTCACTTACTGTGCGTACTTTGCAAGAGGAAAAGGCAAAAATGCAAAAATATGTGCTACTCACGTAATACTTCATTTAGAAGCCATCGAGGGCGTTAATTAAAATGGTCCATTGTTGTCAAGCAGGCGAAAACGAGCCAATAACACCGTGGAAGACCGAGGTGAATTCTCTTTTATAAATCTACCCTAAAGAAAACTATTTCAGGGTCTTTGACTATTGTCTGAAGAGTTCAGGAGTACGCTGTCCCATTGGAACATTTGCCTTCGTTCCCGTGACAGGTAGATTCGAGGTCGTAGGATGAGACACTGAAATTTAACAACTGGTACTGTCTGCCAAGAGGCAGAAAACGGCAGCGATCATTAACCGGAAATTCTTAGAACCGAAAGTGTGAGAAGTTGTTAAAATCTCCAGTACCCAAAATTGTCGATTCGCTAATTATTTTCTGCACCTTTATGCAAAAGGACCAGGACTTAAAACCACTGCAACACCAGTTGCTGACCACGGACCAAACAACTCAGGTTTACAAGCTCCTCTTTTAAGGCCGACTAGGCAGCCTTCCTGAATCACGGTCAGAAAAACTTGATTTCCCAATGCCATGGCATGCAAACTTTATTATCTGACGTGTCTTGTTTTGAAGGCCTGCTGGCACATGTGCACACACAAACAAAGAAACAGACATCTCGTGGCTCAAACAGTCAACTCCGTCGGTATGCGCACACATACGACTGCCTCATGAGGAGCGCAAAGAGGATCGATCTCCTGCAAACAAACCCAGTACACAGTCCGTGTCGCTTGGGTATGGTCAGGAAACATGCTTCTCGGTAGTTAAAGCGTGCAGAAGCTGGCTGTCCTTCAGAATCACTGTTATATGGACATCGTACGGGAGGACGAAATTAACGTAGGAGCATCAGGTACAGAGGCAATCATATGTAAACTCTCGATTGGCTAGACAAGCCGCATGACTGCCGTGGTCTGACTTCTATGTACTGCAACTGCCCGAGGTTCCTCCATATTCGACTGTTCACTCCAGACGGATCCTGGTGATGAATTAGAAATCTAGATAGAAATTGCATTAACTGAAAACCAGTGGCGGACCTGAGGTGGCACAATCATTCTCTACTCCAGCTCATTCTTGTCTAGTCAGGTTTAACTAAGAGCATTTTCAGGAGTCCTCATGAGTCAAATTCGGGCTGTAAGACGACCACGAAGAGAATGGTTAAGAGAAACCGCGATTACGGGGCGTGATTACATAGTCATCAAAAATCATGATGCTTTCCGGTTGACTTTTTCCTTAACATACGAGATAACCTTACGCATGCAGTACCGGCTATTTGGACTGCTCTTATGTTCCAGATGCCTTTATAACAAAAACTTTCCGTTGTGCTGCAAGGGTTATTACGGTTGGTGCGTCTGAAATCTTACTAAATAATCTGAGTAAGAGAAGCTGTTCATCGAAACAGAGTTGTAGTGTTGCTGACGTTTCGGAGAATTCAGTCGGTTTTCCATTGTCAAAGCCGATAAAGTATTCCGAAACGTCAGCAACATGACGACTCTGTTCGGCTGAGCAGCTTCTCTTTCTCGAATCAGCGCGAAATTATCACCTTTGTGAACCTGAGTTCTAGATAAGTGCTTAGAAGGATAGTATATCGATTTTACTGCTTTCTTTAATGGGATACATCAACCCTTCGAAGTAATCTACGATTATGCATCCCCTAAACCTCTAAATCCACAGTCAGTGCACGGTGCACTGAAACATCTTCATGAAAACCTCACTTCAGAGAAAATATCTCTTAAAACTTGTGGACAGTAATCAATCCGGCGCACAGAGGCCATCCGATTGGGGATATTTACACATACGAGCATTCAGTCAAACGTCAAGAGATTCATAATTACCAGCAGTTCAGGCGTAAGAAATTAGTTTTCAGGAAAATGCAATCCTCTATAGGACTGCTATACACTATGAGTTTTCGGAAACGGTCCTTATAAAATTATTTAACTGCAGGTAGATGACAAGAAAAATAGACGGGTATAAAGGGGTGATGGCATCTGCAATATTTCAGCGATTATTTTCCACAGAATGAGCCTGATAAAGTTAAAAGGTCAGAGGTGTGAGACCAGACCCTGACGGGCCGAATTCCCACTGTGAACGTGTCAACAGTTCGGATAAGCTCCTTCGGATCAAAAATACTTGAAAAAAACGGCCCAACATCTTTTCAAGTCAAGTTTTCCTTAACGTTGGGTTTCTTGGCGGGCCCCATACCTTCGTATGATTGAAATTCATGGGAGTGATAAGGGGAGGCGGAAGGAAAAGACAGGAACGTACCTGGTTTAGGTGGCTGGCCCTGAGGGGCCATCATGCGCTGCCAGCGTTGAAAGAGGGTTGCTCTGAGACAGTCCCGAGGAGACAGATTATAGGATTTTTGCCGGGACATAAGCTCCTGCATCGGTTCGAGGATGACGCACAGACGGAGAAAACTGAGCGTGGGGCCTGTCAGACCGGAACGCGTAATGTTTTTGGAGATCTGCTCAAACAGGTTAGGGTCCTGCAGGAATGGAATTTAAGAAGGGATGATGGAAACACCTGCCAAACAGATGAGAGTACCGACAAAGACAAACAAGATCGCGATGGCCACGATGGTTTAACGGCCGTCGTCAGTCAACTATCTCCAACCCCAGAGCAGGATGGTCTGGGATTCAAACCCAGGTGTTGGGTCATTGTGCGTTAAGTGGCCTAAAGTTGTACTACTGAGCCCTGGGCTGGCTGTCCTGCCAGCCACTAGAGACTCGCTGTGTGAGGACTTGGGGCCTCAAGAATAGCAAAACTCTGTTCAATAGGGTTTTACTTGTTGTCTAGGCAGAATTTACCATTAATGATTCAGTTGGATGCATCGTGCAATAACGTTTGCCATGACGGCCCGTAGGCGGCACTTCCAGGGAAAATCCAGCCCCAGGGCGATCATCAAAATCGCGCAGTCTGGTAGACAAGATGACTGCCAAATTTACTACGCCACCGCTTCCACCTCAGCTGTCTTCGACGGACACTGAAGCTGAGGTGACAGGACTAGATCGCCGACACGGACGTACTGGAACGGACAGGAATCCTCGGCATCAACGTCATGCTAAAACAATTGCAACTGCGCTGGAGCAGCCACCTCGTGCGGATGGACGACGGGTGGCTGCCACCATTTCCTACGCAAGTGGGAGGCGTACTTCACGGCCCCTTCTCCATGCAGCTCCTCTGCTACATGTGTGATCCGAGTTTGAGACACGGTGAGCTAAGCGCCGTGGCTTGGAAGGCTGCCGACTGACGCCCCAACTCAGTCTACGCAGTTTGCCCAGCTATGTGCGTGTTTGTGTGGAGAGGCGGGCTGGTGAGCTGAGAGCCAAGCTATCACGTTTCCGTCTTAACTGGTCTGTGACACTCACGCATGTGAGAGGTGTGCGTGTATGCTTTACGGGTAGTTCCTCTCAGTCGAAGACTGGTTTGTCACCCGGCCTTGAAAGGTGACGGTCCAGGCAAGTGCAGGGCCATGTGTTGCCCTTCTGGGCCTAAAGGTATATAAGCGTCTCCTATGCCAGCATCAGCAAACCGTCGCCCCCGCAGCCTAGTATGCGCTGGCAGTTCTCCGGCACCTGGTTCCCTGCCGGTAGATGCGCCTGCGCTCCCGCTGGGTATACAGGCCGTGAGCATGACTGCCCAGTCATCCTCGTCCTTCTGACCCGCTGTGGTGTTGCTGTTGTTGGTAAAAATCCTGGTCATTTGTTGTGTGAACGAGGGGGCGTGGAGTGGAGCGTCAAGGTGATGGCTCGGTCGCGCTATCCGCTCTCACTCTCCCCCGCCTCCGGTTTTCTTGGCTTCGTCTTGACACCGGGTCTAGGTGGGCGAGGAGGAGACGGGGCGGTAGATACAGCGCAAATCTACATTCACTATAAACTAATTCACACGCAAGTCACCGTGCCTGCATCACCCTGCTTTATCCCTTTCTTTCGCATGCGCCGGACGTGGTTGACCCCTGCCTAGGTCAAATGGTACAGCTCCACCTGTTCGGGAAGGAGACTCATAAAAAAGATCAGGCGTGCAAATAGACAAACATGTCTACCTGAATAGTCAATAGAGAGCGCATGATAAGCTCCCGATGTGTCCGAATCTGGAAGGTCCAAAGGCGAATACGCATGAGCTCGTCGGCGGTGAAATCCAGGCTGAGACGCCCCTCCACCACCACGGTGACAGGAAGGGGGCGGACGATGTTCATGACCATATTGGCACAGTCTGAGTCGAGGGTGAGGATGGGATTATGAAAGGAGTCACGAGTGGCCCGCAGGTTGAAGTACAACTCGCCGCAGCCACTTTCAAATATGCTCCGAAAATAGCGTGGAATTAGAGTTCGACCTACGGCTGAGGGGAAGAAAGGTAGATAGAGGAACGCGAAGAGAGGAGGACTTACTGAAACGTTTCGGACCATCCTCAAGCATCACAGATATTATCATGGTGGCGTCATCCTCGAAAAAATCTGTGACAAATGTCTCCCACCAGAAACTGTCACTCTCCTAGAGGATAAAACGGAGTAGACTAAAAATCAATCGACTTACATCTCCTCGCTGCTGAAGGCGCTTGTTGAGCTCGAAAATCCGATACTCAGGCTGGCCGATTATTGACGGTAGTCGATGCCTGAAACAGAAGAAATTTGGTTAATGTCTTCAAGGGAAAAGACAAACATGCCCATCGGAGAAGTCCAGCAGACAGGCGCGATAAAGCGTTAATTTGTTGCCAGCAGGGTAGGTCCCTGCACAGAAAGGGCTCTTGACACTTTAGCTACGCGAGATGGGCACTTTGTCGATAGTCGGTTCATAAGTATGTCTAAGTTATTCTAGGCATTGCTATAGCTAATCTGCTTTGGGAAAGGAACAGAGCACGGATTCCGTCAGCATAGGTCACTTGCGTTAAAGGCAGCACATTATAGGAGAAATCAGATGGTCGATGACGAGGTGACTTGATGACGATCTCAAAGAATTGGCCCAAAAGTTTGTGAACTGAAATGGGGGACTTTAGGCCAACCTAAGTGACATAACCTTCTCACTGAGCGTCCGTGAAACCGTTTGCGGTGGTTGAATAGCGATTTACAAGGTCCCTGTTCCTTTGATAATCTCAATGTCACGAAATGGGCTTCTTGTTAACTAAAATTATGGCGGCACTTATATCCGAATACGGAGAACGCAAAAATTCGAAATGTAAAACCGCTCGAGCTCAAAGATTCCACATAAAATGCAAAAAGTTTGGGCTTAACGGGACAAGTTAAGTTGCCGAGGTTTGACGTGATTACGTACGGTGTAGCATTGTTAGTTAAATAAGATCACAAGCCGAAAAATTGGGAATCTACCATATGCACGACAGGCCTTAAAGTACTGTAACCAAAGTTTACTTGGTTATACTTGTAAGGACATTCGCCGACTACGGCTGATTGCCAAGGTGTGTAGTCGGTCAGTGACAGACTTCCGAGTGAAGTAGTCGGTTGGCAGATCAGCCCTCCAGGCTAGAAAAAGCAGGGAGATGGATGCGCTCAAGAGCAGCTTTTATTAAGTCCAATCCGGATTTTAATTCGCCACAGACGGCAGTCAGCCAGGGTCGAGCTCAGACATGACATTCTGAGTGATTTAGCTTTCACGTGGGTGCAACACATGGCCGGGCCATCTCAACAGGCGAGGACAGAGGGTTCAACTGACAAGTTCAGTTTTTGGCCAACTATATAGCTGTTGGCTGGAGACGCGATCAGAGATGAATTCGACGAACAGCGCTTAGAAAACATCAGTCGAATACCCCCGACTGGTTGGTGTTTCCTGAGGGCAGGGGCGATGCCTAGAATCTACACAGGATTGTCTTGGCAAAGGCTGAACACACTTGTGGCTTGGTCTTCAGGTTGAAGTCGCCTGGTTCCTAAGGTTGCACAAAGACAGACAATGACCGAACGTACTTAACATATCCGATGGCTGACAGCACTTCCATACTGTCCACTAAGTAGATTTTGACCAAACTGGAAGTTATCCGCAAGGAATTGTATTGCTCGCCGTGAGCACGCAAACACATTCGATCTCAAGGCCTTAGGTGATCGTCTTGTAGTTTACTTTCATATCAGCTTCATTCATCCTTGCGTTTACCTGCGACAAAGCACGCCACACTTCCGCAATGAAACAGTATCAACAGTGTAGCCCGATTCATGACAGTTCGGCTGTCGTGGCCGACGATGTTAACCGTATGCTTCACGGCTGAGTATGAGCTGCTATGGTTACTTGCGTGGGATTCCTTTTATAGTGACAATATACTTGCGCTGCATCTACCGCACTTTCCCCTCCCTCCCCCTCCTCACCTGGGCCAGGTGTCGAAACGGTTAAGGAGACGGGAAACCGCAGAGGGCGCAGGTGGCTGGAGCGCTCGGACATACATGTAGGCGTACCACCGCATTCCCTGGTTCACAGCAAACACGACCAGGATTTTAACCAACAACAGAGGCGACGACTGGCACGACCGCAGCCGCCCCTGGGCGTGCCGCCACACCCGGATCAGATCCCACTAGGTGGGCGTGCCAGAGGTCGCAGTAAGGAGCCATTACAGCCTGGCCCTCTGTCCACCGTTCAGCCTCTCAACACATACACACAACCGAGCTGATCGCGAGGAATGAGCTGGAGCGTCAGTTGGCAACCTTCCAAGCAACGACACTTGGCGTACCGTGATAGTTTCAGGCTGGAATCACGCATGCAGCTGATGAACTACACAGAGAAGGAGCTCACAGTAGCGTAGCTGCCTTTACCCTCCACGTTACCATCATTCTCAGTACCAGTCTTAGCCTCACATCACCAGTAAATGCCAGATGTCGCATCCCTGTTACTAAGACCAGCACCGGTCATCATGTCCAAGAAGAGGTTAAGTACAGCAGTGCATTAAGTGCGACGTACATAAAACGTCGATGGTGAGAAAATAAATAGGATATTCTGGAATCATAATGCACAGACGACGGCCTACTTTAATGCTCGGTGGTCTACTAGAGGCAGGTGAGGGACTCAGTCTATCACAAAGTTCTAACAGAGGTCAGAAGTTATATCGAAGGTATCACTACTTTTGTCATTCACGCGGACCTTACACCTCGGTCTGTGACAATAGGCCTGAATCCGTCGAAGTGGCATCCACGGCATGTTATTATGAAACGTGATCGACCACAGGAAATTACAATGGTGATCCAAACTCCGGAATGATATTCACGAAACAGACGATGCCGAGTCATTGGAAGCAGTGACGGTTGACAGGGGCTTAGCGAAACGAGAAGTGCCGGTCAAAGAACATCTAGGTCCGTTGGAAGTCGCATGAATTTTCTTTGCTTGCGCTTGACGGTGCAAGTAAATGCGACTGAAAAGGACGACTGTTAAATTATTCACGGTAATGCTGGGGACATGTATGTCACTGTGGTTCTTACAAGGCGGTTTTTTGTCTTTCATCAACTTGGATCAGGAGGCCGCAAGCAGACTTCCGTTGAAAGTCATTGCCGGGCGTCTTCCCATAAGGCTCCACCGCATGGTGCCGTGCATTACGTCCAACTAGAGAGCACCTTCTCTACCAAAATGATGCATAAAAGTAACCTTATCATCGCAGACTGGTTATTTCTGAGGGGCGAAGCAGGCGAATTATGGAACTGGCTCACCATTGAACTACAGTACAGCTTTCTCATATCACCGTCCGTTAAAGGACTTTCAAGATATCGGGCTGTTTTACACAAAATTTCGATTTGGGCATGTCGAGCAGAATGTACTGTCTCATGACTCGCGTAACTGAAGTTCAGATCGCCGCAAAGACCAGCAGCATATGTAATATTAGCTGGTCGTGTTGCTCCACCAGCCATTATATCCTCGTACTGGCGCATATTGCGGCTATGAAGTCCTATGAGGTACTTGGAGGTGCGCTTCATTTCGAGTCATTTCTCGTGAAAGTAAAACGTCTCAGGGATGGCTGACGCCTGCATAAGTGCGATAAATCAGTTGAAGACAGCCAGAAAGGAACCCGTAGTAGGAGTTTTGGGGCGATCAGCATCGTATTTCCTTATACGTGCCTTTTAGCAGCACTTAGTTTAAGTAATATCGGAGCATTCGCAAAAAGATGGTCGGAACGACTGTAGAGATTTTCATCTTACATTGGAGATAGTCTTGTATATATGTGCCGCCACCCCATACCAGCACGCCAACAGCACAAAGTCGCACAATGGGACAATTGATAACTGCGTAAAGCTCGTCTTGAAGGTCTAGTCCTGACCATTGCCAACATACGGCGTTGAGAAGCAAAACGTAACGATTGTGAACTTAAGAATAGAAGTTCAGCCGTCGTTACAGACAATGTTCACCATGTGCTCCATGGCACTGTGAGCGCAGGGACGGCGACTTTCGCGTGAATTAGCTTGCAACGATAGTAACCTTGCGTTACATCTACCGCACAGCCTTTTCCATCACATTCCTGGCTCCGGTGTCATGATATGGTCAGAAAGACTGGAGGCGGCATCGGGCGCAGTGGCAAACAAAGTTAAAGAGCCAGTCTACACGGGCCACACACGCATGGCCCGCGCGCGATGGACCAGGTTTTCGTACAGGAAGGGAGGGGCTTGGATACCAACTTGGTGGGAGTGACATAGAGGCCACATGAAGGAGCCATTGCAGCCTGAGAGGAAGACCGCGTTAGCCCGTCAGTTGGCAAGCTTTCAAGCCATGGCTCTTAGCGCATCGTGATATATTTACGTGCGTCGGATTGTTTATAATGAAGAATATGCGCTGAAGTGTCGTGGGGACAGAATTTCCCAAATTGACCACACTCTCTTCCTTCTCATGCACCAGTCGATTGTCCTGGTCGGTCGACCAACTTAGGCCCAGATCGGGCGCGGTGGCTGATGGAGCTGAAGCTGCCTGCCCGCGCCTCACGCACGACCTGGCCTCTCACATAACACATAAACTTTTCACAAAAGGGGTAGGTTGATCGAGTCTTGTATGTCTTAAAATACCATAAGGCCACACGGAGGGGGCGAAGAAGACCCCTTCCACTTATGTGAGAGGTGCCTGTCCCGTGCCTGTAGTGGGTGGTGTGGAACAGGCTTGTGTGCTGTACGGACTGGTGGAAAGACGTGTAGTGATGGAGTTTCGTCTGTGGTGGTTTACTGCAGATTTGCATGGAGGCGCATGTGGCGGGTGTATGTCGAGGATCCGGGGACTGGTTCGCCGGTTCCGATGCGGTGAATTTGCAAGTGACCGACCAGGTCTGTGTGTGAGTCATCGATGTGTGTGTCAGTCATTGAGGGCCTGGATGCCAATGGCGCCGCTAGCGACCAATAGCGACGGTATCAGTCTGGTGTTCATACTTCATAGCAAGTCTTTGCGTCACCGATCGGATAAGATTATTGCTACATATGATATCGGCTTGATGCACTTATTGTGTACGTGCGTAATTTTGTGAGCTTTCACACCGATGTGTCCTTCGTGGCTTATAAAGGCAGTATTCCTTGTTGAAATATTGTAAAGCTGGAAGACGATCCGACCTCAAATAGCTGATTAATGCTGACGAAAATGTAGAGGGAAAGAAGAGAGTACTTGCCGGTACTGGACATATTAGAGACGGGATGATGAAGTTATTGGTCCTCTCTTCCTAGACGAAAAACACAACTAAGGAGCAGAGACTCGTCGAATAGATTTATCAGTGACACCGCTGGGCTGTTTTGAGACATTTCAAAGAGTTCAGAAGTTGAATATAGGCACGCCTCGGGAACTGGCAATATCCGTATCATATTTGATTTATGTTAACAACTTCGGACGTCGCATTGTTAAAACAATAAGTTCTCATATTTTAGCCTATGATGCGCACTTACACCTTGAGTTCAGGGTCAGTTCGCATTCACAGCAGTTACTGATAGTAATTCAGACCCGTCGTAAGTCGCAGGCGCCCGAATCTAGAGTCGGAATGCAGGATATTGCGTCCCCTTGGGATTATGATGCTTGGCATAAGCTGGGTTGCCTGGTTTGTAAACTAGTCTTTGGATGGATATTCAACCAAGAAAGCAGTGTACAAAGAGGGGCTAAGTGGACGACGATCGCCATGTCAGAGTGCCTTTGTCGGACTTTGGGGCATGTGGGGGAGGAGTGCGTCAATGCTTCGCAAATCTGCTTTAATTATAAAATTATTCACGTGTAAGTAGCCGTCCCTACGAGAGCTGACCACACGACTCGATTTTCTCTAAACAAGGATGACTGAAATCGCTGCATAAAACGCCAAAACAGAAGTAACCTCCCGGTAATCGCCTCTGTTTCTTCTGGAAGGCTACCTGGAATCCACCCATTCAATACGAAGTTAACAATACAAAAACAAGAAAATTGAACGTACATCTGTAATGGACCGTGGGGATGATGAAGATGGTGCGGATGTCCATGCGGAATAGGACCGGGGATTTGATGCGAGGCAATAGAAGGAATTCCCATCGGCAGACCATGATGATGCAACATGGATGGGCCAATTTGTTGAATGGACATAGGCATTGACGTTAAGTGTTCACGCTCGTGGCCAGGAGGAAGGGGAGGGAGGCCGTGGCCGGGATAATGTAGGCCAGGAACAGCCCCATGAGGTGGCATGACCTGGCCTTGCATTGAAGGCATCCCTGGATTTACGGACATCATACCACCGATATTCATGGGACCGGCAGCTGGGCCAGAAAGTGAATGAATTTGAGAATGCTGAGCCGAGAGTTGTTGATGCTGAGGTCCAGACATCGACATGGGCGTAGGCATACGACATGCGTTACCAGGACCCTGAAGTGGTGGAGTGGGTCCGCGCGGTTGCAGTTGAAAAGGCGTAAAGTTAGGCTCCAGTTTCTCTACCTATGGTAATAGATTACATCGCAGTTGGATAGAGATGGGGTAAAAGTGGTTGCGCATGATAAATTTTGCTAACGCGTCATGAATGGACAGAGATAGGAAGGAAAATTGTAAGTAAAGATAGTGTATTAAAAAAATGCATAAAGAAAATTTAAATAAAGACTGCTCACATAAAATTGACATGCCTCCATCGCTGGCGCAATCAAAGATACGAAGCAAAATCGGGCATCTTCGGTTAACGAGCAGCAAATAGCAATACTAAAGGGATTAACGGTAGGCCGTACTCAAACACTCGCTGCACTGGACGCAGTCAGACAAGCAAAAGTGGTTTAGAAGAGCGAACGGAAGTACATCAAAAGTAATTAGGCGATATTAGGTTACGTACAAGTTAACGCGGTATAAAGACATCAGCATAAAAAGGCATGATAATGTCATTGTGTCCAAAGCAACAAAATCTTCAGATCTAAACAGCGACAAGCAAACGATGCTTGGCGATGTCAAAGTCTGGCAAAAGAAAGCAGGAAAATTTGCCCTCTAGGTGGCACCAGTTATCCGAGCCACGACGGCGCTGGTATAAAAGATTCAGCAACAGGAAGAATGACACCAATCGGAAATAAGATGAATTTGAGATCTATATACTGAGAAGTTATTAGAACGAAAAATAATGTGAACGCCGAAACTAAGTTAAAAGTCGCCGATAAGATTCAGTAAGGATAATCGCACAAAAACAAGGTTTGACAATAGAAGCCGAGCATGGGAGATTTTATGGATTAAGGCGATTTAATCAAGAATACGTACGTTGACAAAAAAAGAGGCAGCCAAACCTTTAAAAGGGAGACGAAACTGAGCCCCAACGCAAAAATGGATGCAAAATTTAACCCGAGCAGAAATATTTACCTCGTTTGATATATTAAAACACACCCCGAAAAGTAAATTGCAGCAGCAGTAAGACATTTCATTCTCTTAGAAGATGCTCGCATGTCTAGCTATTTATGTCGATTTCTGATAAAATTTTCACGAGAATGGCGCATAAACCAAGGGTAGGAAGACTTTGGAAAAAATGATAATGTTTGTTTGTCCATGGCTCAAAATAAGAAAGTCAGCTAACGGAAATGCTAAGAATTTATTGGTGAAGGAATATGTTTAAGCAAATTCTACCAGAACTTCAGAGATAGCATCCTGTGTGGAGCCATATATAATGGACAAATCGGGAGCGTCGTACTATGGGTCGTTCCTATACTCGAGATGTTGCACTGATGCCTCGCCAATACCCCCAGAAACACCACAACGGTAATCGAAGTGGTGTGGATTTAATTATTCATTTAGAGGATGACTCATGCCATTTCGTTTTTAAATAATAGTTCATGTCTTGTCCAGAATGAGTGCCGGAGAGCCGTGAACGGGATCTACTTTGTAGTGGTCTTAAAAGGTTCGTAAATGCTGTCGGATGGACGCTGTGCAGCAGTACGCTGACAAATATACCATGTCGCACATGCACTGTCAGTGTGCAAGAAAATGTAGAATGTGCCAAGCTGATTGGGTCATATAGTGCAGGCATAATTATAGGGTAAGAAGTGCCTGAGACAGTGTGAAGACAGTCCCAGCCTAATTCATGTGTGGATCCGTAAATGTTTCTGCTACGCTCTGTCCTGGCACCCATTTCTCATCTGTGACTCCACGAAGCCGTACACAGCGCGACTACTATGCCCAGGTTGTCGGCTTTTTAGCGGTGAGCTAGACCACGTAATTGTGTCCGGCATTTGTTTATCATCACGTTTGGTAGTTCCTAATTCCTACTGTAAAAGCCCTCGCCCCACAGCAAGCACACATGCCCTGCGAATAAGACGACATGCAATCCCATCGGTGTCCCACTTAGCTCAGATCTTCTCTCCACAAAACCAAACTCAAGACCTTTAATTAGATTAGGCGCCCGAATGAGAGGACAAACGAGCTTTTTTAGGGATGTCATTGGTTACTCCCTCGCGGGAGGGCGGGTTAGAGCTTGTCCACTACAAAGCAGTCACTAAGGCTCTGCTTGAGATCCGCTTCACTGAGTAGGGAAAACTGGCGGAGTTGGGCGTCAAGCGTACGTTTGTTTGGAGCGGACGTCAAAGGGCATTGCAACGCGAAGTCAGTGGTGCCTTCGTCATCGGGAACGACGTTGTAAGACGGCAGTCGTACCTGTCGAAAAGCGTCAATGATTGTCTCATGACCATGACACTGTCACTTCTAGGAAAAAAAGTCGACACCATCGGCAGGACTTATGTCACGTCAACGGCCAACAACGATGTGAAATGTTCTACGATGGCCCGCACCCCTCCCAGCAACTGTGACTAAGGCAGATAAATCAACTGTCCTAGGAGACCTGAACGTCAGCGTCGGCTATGGCCATGATTCCCTGAATGAAGTGTTCGATCGCCATTTCACTGACCGTCGCAAGCTAAATTGCCTTCTGCTTCCCCGAGCCTACCTGGAAGACAATCCTCACCCGATCAGCACCTTCACATGTACTCTGATGCCTGAAAGGCGATGTGGATTCAGCCTCACTCGTGTTACAGCCATCTAATGGAATACATTTTATCTGGAAGCGTACACAGCGAAGCGCGCTCGAGACTAAAATATGTTGTATCTTCTGCTGAACGGATCGCCGACCTGCCATCTGCAGGTCGATATTCCGAATGAAACTGAGCAGCTGACCATGGGATTATTTAACGTCAGGTAATCTGGACATTATATTAAGTGATATGGCTGGATATCGATAGAAGTTTAGCAGCCTCATGAACCAAAAGTATAAGAAATACAAACCCTAGAGGCGCTTCCAATAGCAAAATCCGTTTGAGACAGCTGGATACCATTTAGGCCTCCGCGATAGTACTCCCCGGACGCAAACCCCGCCAGCATCGGGATTATTTTAATGGCAATTACGAATAAATCCTCGGCCGCCAGTTAGATAAACACTGACTGAACACGATGTACCGCATCGAGAACAGCAAAGACAATAAAGTCGCATAACTTTAATGCTGACATACTATACAACAATGACTGAGAGTAAATGTCACTGGTCGGCAAATGCTCTCGGCCTCTGCACGTAAGCATGACTTAACTAAATCCAACTCAAAAGACTTAACTAAATTTGATACAGAAGGCTCACCTAAATGTAAGTCAGATGGTATTTCTACTCAGTCGTCACCCGTTGTAACCGATAGCCAGCTTAATCTATCTGCACTTTCGAACTGCAATGATTTTATATTAAAGTTTGGCCCTCTGCTCTCAATTCTTGGAAAATTATTCGACGGAAACTCCTCCGATATCCCCTCTCAAGAATGTAGGCGTCTTGACTCACTTGTTCACCTGATTACCAGTGAATCTAGTGATAAACAAAAGCGTGCTTACAACTTCTTGTTGAAAAATGTTCCTCGATCTGGTAGGCCAGTTGTTTTTGCGACTGATTTCCGGTATTCGTGTGGTTCCAACCACAAAATAACCAATGTAAAACGCTTGTCATCACGTAGAAAAAACCTACCCAACTTAGTCAAATTATCTTCATCAATCGAGGTCGACTCAATATTTGCCCATCGAGAGCTTGTCTCTGAATACCTGGAAAATGCAAAATTTTTCCTTTGTCACGATCTCACTCCCATGGACGAATAATCGGGTCCATTTTCTCACGTAAACCCGGTGCTTCTTAGCCTAATGCTCACTAAGTCGGTCACTTTACAAGTGGCCTTGAGGATTCAGCTGGTCCTACTCCTGAGACATCTGACTCCCTCCTTCCCCTTACTCCTAAATGTCCATCTCACTCAGGCCACCAGACGTATTCGCCTGTCCCTACGTTAGCAGCAACAACAGTCCCATTTGTCGTTTCTTATCCTCCGGATAGCCCCACTGGGACGTATTAAACTCCGTCTACATCACCCAGACCGATAACTTCTCCATTTCAACAGGGTGCTGCAAGCGCTACAGTTAAGTCACCTGTGGCTTATCGTCAGAACGGTGAGACTCCAAAAATGAATCAGACTCCGACCCAAAAGAAAGGTAATACAATTCCATTTAGGGGTAAGCCGCCTTCTATTAGATCTACCAAGCCTTTACAGCCCAGTTCGTTTACAAACCTCGCAGCTCCAATTATACCCCCAAATAATTCTCTGTCCTGCGTACCGGTTACTTACAAAAGCCCTATTATATATCCAGTAAATAATTCATAAAGGAATTGCCCTAAGTCATTTAACCCCCAACCTAGTCCAGGCTTCCCAACACTTAGGGTCAACGGCTCTTAGGTAAGTAAACCTAACTCCTTTGACTTTCAACCTAGACGTGGTGCCCCACCCCTTCATTCTTATAGCTACCTACCGTTCTCCACCAGCCCCCGCCTTCCCTCTAGACGTCCCCTCCTCCACAAAATAACTACCAACAAGCCTATTCCTGTTCTTACTCCCTAGCGTTCCAATGCTCGAAAACTATATTCCCACATCCTTCAGGTCTCATGCCCAGCCTCCTCTTGCTGACTCTCCATACGCCAATAACTCTAGACTAACTTGCACTTATTCTTCAAGCATCATTAATTCACAGCTCACATATCCACCTCCAAACTTTTGTCGAAGTACAGTCGACAATAACCTTGCTGTTCGGAACACATTGGATATTATATTAATGAATGCCAGCGCTGTTATAAACAGGATGACCAAATCAGAGCCATTGCTCTCGAAATGGCGCCGGATATTATGTGTGTAACAGAATCTTGAACCGATTCTCCAATTTCTGACTCTGCCCTTTTTATAGGTGACTTCGATTTTTACCGTCAAGACCGCACGACTAGGCGTGTGGGCGGTTGTCTTCTTTATCTTAAATCCTACCTAAAGCACTCTCCGTATTACCTGGACGTCTCCTCACTCATAGGAAACTTCTGCTTCGCATCTGTTATTCTCTAACCGCAAAGAAAGGCAATTATTGGCTGTATCTACAATCCCCCAAACTCTTCAGCCAGTGATGATTCATAACTCTGTGAAATCTTTAAATTAATTTCGGAAGTTGCTTTCGATGTTATAATAATCACTGGGGATTTTTACCTTCCTGAAATTGACTGGGTTTCCAATAGCTGCCCACCCAGATTCCAGTCCTTTCAAGATATTGTCAATTTTTCTAATTGGTCCCAAATGGTGCGCTCTCCAACAAGAGATAATCCCATTGTAGATCTAATCCTTACCAATGACATTGCTCCTCTTTCTGTTGCTTTAAAAAAGGACCTCTTTGACAGTGACCACGTATTAATTCATTGTTGCTTACCGCTTGCGTTTTCAAAAAAGACTAGCACAGTTCGCTCTTACGTAAACTACGATTTAAGAAATCAGTATATTAAGTCAGTGGATTGGTGTGGCTTTCTCTTATGTAGCGATGGAACCATTCTTCGTGATATCATGTCCAATATTTCGAAGGACCGCCTAGAATTAGTGTCGCTTATATATCTCAAACCTAATTATTCAGATTCCCCTGTTCGTCATTTTCTAAAAAAGCTGAGACAGCAGCTGCTCGACCTATCCACTAGTTCCTTATCAGTTCATCTTAGAATCACAGAGATTTTTGAAATGGCCTCAAGGATGCGACAAGCGCGCGATAGGCAAAGAGAATCACTTGTTCTCAATGAATCAAACCCTGGCAATTCTGTCGCTAACATCTTCCGTCCTCGGTCCTTGTCTAAGCGTGATCACGAATTTCCGCCGCTGCTAAACGATAACAAAATCCTCATAATCGATGTCACTGACAAGGTTGAGTTATTCGGTGCTTTCTTTGCAAAACACCTTAATACTGAGTCCAAACATGTCCCTTTCTTTCATTTACTTTCATATAGGACACTGAATATAATCTATGTCTACTCAGATCTCATTAACAAACACATAAGTCGTTTGAAATACTCACACTACCGGGAACGTATGGGATTCCAAAGTAGATTATTAAATAGACATTCGACCTTCCCATATTGCTTAGTCATTTATTCTCGGTCTATATTTCAAAAGGACTCTTGCCTGAAACATGGAAAACGTCAATTATCATTCCTGTCTTCAAATTTTGATCTCGGTCCGACATTAGTAACTATCGGGGCGTGCACAAAACACCGTCTCTAGCAAAACTTCTTGAAAGGACTATTTTCAATGAAATTTACGACTTCCGCCTTGTTAACCGACTTCTGAGCTCTAATCAGCACGGATTTTTACCTGAATGATACCGCGAAACTTGCTACTTGGCATTTCATAATCTAATCACTTCTCTTCGTAATGAACAGCAGTCAGTGATCTTTGATCTTAGCAAAGCCTTCGACAAGGTCTCACAGAGTCTTTTGGTAAAATTGAAAGCTGTCGGCATCCGGCCGCCTCTACTCTACTTCATCAGGTCCTATCTATCCAACCGATATCAGAAAGTCATGCTTGGTAACACCTCACTCGATCACGCGTGGCGTACTTCAAGACACGGTTATGGGTCCGCTACCTTTCATTCTTTACATCAATGATATTTCGACTGAAAGCAGAAACTCGCAAGCGTCTATTTATGCCGATGACCTCAAGTGTGTTTACTCATATTCTGATGTAATACTTGGGTTACCTGACGGCTTAGTCTCGTCTGGATTGAGCTCCTTGGAAGGTGATTGAAGCTGCTCGTCTATAGAGGTTGCGGTAGACATAGTCATATCGACTCTTCCTTGCATGTGGATCTTGAAAGCTCAATCACACAGGCTTCAACAGGCAAGATCAGAATTGGACTGTCAACAACAGAACGTTTATTAAACCGGGGGCTGGGAGAGGTATGGATCGCGGCTTGTGGACCAAGGGATAAAGGGGGGGAAGATAACGGAGTGGGAAAACCAGAAAATGCGTGCAATCCTTCCTCCGATTTATCCTTCCTTCAGTCAGGGTGCTGGCACGCGTGTTTCTATTTTCGGCGCGTCCGTTTGGTGATCAATCTCCGTAGCTTCAAAGGAAGCGGAATGCCGCTCAGGGAGACTTTAACAATGAAATTAAAACGAACCTGACTAAAAATGCCTGTCCTTTAAACTAAGGGCACCGCAAAGGTTTATGTCGAAAAAATTAATGCCAATTTACTACACTTAAGCAGATGGAGTTTTCATAATCGAAGTGTAGTTTCATGTCTCCTGGTGCTGCCAAACTTCCTGGCCCCATAGTTTTTCAGAATAACCCACTCTCCAAATGCTTCACCATAAAGGACCTAGCTTGCTTTATCACCTTATGCAGACAGAATCTCTGCCATAGCTGCATATATATTAGGGTTCATATCGCGTAATTTTTACCTTCTGGAAATGAACCTAAGATTTTACCAAATGTTTGTTCTTCCAGTCTTCGAATACTGCTGTCCTTCCTTTGGTTTAATAAACGCCCGTGACCTTTTATAAGATCAAAAATATTCAGAGGGTTGTCACCCGGAAACTGTTCTTTCAAGTCTCATCCGGTACTTCTTATATTCAGTTATGTAAGTTGGCGAACATAAAGTTTTGGGGGTAAGAAGACTCGAAGCTGGCCTTCGCTTCCTTTTTTGCATTAACTTAACCCCCAACCTTTCGCTCATTTACACTCTCACTCCGAGAGATCGGTCTTATGCCACGCGCAACTCCTCCAAGTTGATCCCGCCGCCTCTTTGTACATCTAAGCGTTACCTCTTCTCTGCTTCCAAACATGCCTTCCTTTGGAATAATCTTCCACCGGGAATTAGGACATCACCTAAATTACTGGTATTCAAGTCGAAGTTAAGCAAACACCTTGCACCAGAAAGTTTAAAGGCACTTTTAACGGCCACATTCCCGAACACTCGGTTTCTTGACTTCGAAAAGCGTCCTCCTGGGATTTAATGGTAGATCAAGTGGAAATCTCCATTTATATCTCTACAACCCCGTGTTTTGGATTGGTTGCTAAGTCGACCGCTATCACTCCTCCCCCTAGCGACGATTTTCACGGTTTTTGATGTCATCTCCCCATCTCGACCTCAAGTGGTCTGTCGACGCTCACGGCGAAACCCTCTGTATGCGTTGTCTACTAGTAGTTTGGTCGTACCTCCCCCTTGCTAACTCCTGGCTGGGCTCGAAGCGGACTGTGGTCGATCGCTTCTGGGTTTCTCTCGTCTGGCCACTCTGACGCAAGTATTCTCATCCGGCGTATCGATTCTGCCCTGACAATGTCCGATTTGAATACGATGTACACCGCCACATACAGGCCACACTTTTGCCTAATTATGAGCAACAGTTTTTTCTCGTGTAAAGTTAATCCCATCATTTTTTAATTCTTGAATGGAATTTTTTCACTGCTCGCTCATCACTTTTCTAAACGGACTACTAATTTAAAAACTATAAATTGCATTTTTTACAGATTCTGCCTACCTCGTCTAAAATTTATCTGAATATTTATTTTAACTTTCTTTGATCGGACCCCGAGGAGTCTTTAGTAAAAATTATTTATTTTTTAATGCGCAGAACGACTTGCTGACTGACAGAGTTGAGGAGATCCAGGAATATGCCGATCGTGGTGAGGTGAGTGATTTCTTCGCAGTCATCAAACCATTAATATGGCCCGCAATCCAGGTGGACTGGTCACTGCTAAAACAGAACAGAGCGACTCGCCGGGCGTAGAAGTCGAAGATTCTAGAGCGCTGGACTGCGCATTTCCATAGCGTTCTCAAGCACCCGTTGACAGTGGTCGTAGCAGCCATCAAGCGACTTCCTCACGAAAACACCGACGACAGACTCGATCGTCTAGGCTTTCTCTCAGATGCAACCAGAGCAGTGCGACAGCTGCTGAGTGGAAAATAGCCGGAACAAACGTAATTAATTTGGAAGTCTCTAAGTGCTTTGTTCCAAAACTTATTACAAAGCGTATCTCGTTATTCCAGAAGTCTTGAGGGTTAGAACACTTCCGGCATGACTTCAAGGACACCACTATCGTGTAAAGTTCAAAACACAAGGGGAACCTTAACTATATGATAGCCACAGGAGCATCCCCCTTCTCAACATTGCGGGAAATATCTTTGCTCGTTTCGTACCCAAACGAGTGAAGACGGAGCTGGAGCACAAACTTCTCAAAGAAACGCACTGCTGAAAACAGACAAGATCCTCGAGTCCCGCTAACTGGAGAGAAAGCACCATGAAGTTAGGGACGGCTTCTACTTGTAATCATCGATCGTCAAATCCCATCGACATAGTGAATCACGAGAAGCCCTGGAGAAATATGATGAAATTCGGGTGTCATAAACGATTAAAACCAATGGCAAAACAACTTCCCACCCTGAATAAGGTCTCTTGTCACTGACAACAAGGCCATCTCCTAAGCTTTCGCGATGATCGATGAACTGAAGCAAGGATGCGTACTCACTCTCATCCTATTCAGGTCATGCTTGTGGAATCCTCGTGGGAATGCTCGTGAGGAATCCTCAGAGATCGAAAACAACTATCGAACCGGATCAGCATCTGTCTTCTGACAAAATTTTCGAGGTTATTTAAGGGCAGAGTTTGCGATCTGCCCTTCGCATATGAATGCGCGCTGCGCGCCACAGTAATAATAATTTTTTATTTAAGACCCGTCGGGGTCCCATCAAAGGGGCGATGCAGCGGAGTGCGGTCTCCCTTTAACCCGGCTACACAAACTCCAGCCTGACCGTCATCACGGGGAAGACAGGCTCTGCCAAAGTCTACATCAGGTGCTGACTACATCGAACCCTGCAAAAAACCGGTGGAACTCATCTCACGTCAGTGGAAAAATTGGCGTGCACAAAGAGTACAAGCTCAATGAACACCAATATAAGCAGGGAGATCGCATGCCGGAACCTTAAAGTCAGGCAAGCCTAAGCACATAGTCGCCGTATCCTACTGAACACATAACTGTACGGGCGGAGGCGTGGACTGTTCATGAAGGACACGTCTAAAGCCTCAACCATTTTTACTTCAGTTACCCTTGAAGTATACTCAAAGTGAAGTGGCAAGCAAGGATTTCAGACAGTGAGATCCTGGAAAGAATCGACTTCGTCGGCGTCCATACCATGCAGAGGCAGATGCAGATACAATGAAGAAGCCACACAAGGCGGACAGTAACGTTGCCAAATGTAAACCATGAAAACCTCGCAGAAGCAAGTAAAAATAAATCGGGAGACATGGTCAAAAACGCGTCGAGGTTGACAAGCGTGGACAGATAGATAATATCTGTCAGAGAAAGAGACAATTACGGAAATGTCAGCAGTAGCGCAACGAGAAGGGTCCTCCTGGGATTTAGTGGTAGATTAAGTGGTAACTCTTAATTTTATCATTAGAAACCCCTGTTTTGAATTGGTTTCTAAATCCACTGCTATCACTCCTCCCCCCATAGCGACAATTTTCGCGGTTTTTGATGTCATCTCCCACATTCCGACCTCATGCGGTCTGTCGACGCTCAGGGCGGAACCCTCAGTATTCGCCATCTACTAGTAGTTTGGTCGTACCTTCCTTCCCCACTGCTCGGCTGAGCTCGAAGCGTGCTGTTGCCGATCGCATCTCGGTTCCTCTCGTCTGGCCTCTTTGACGCGAATAGTCTCATGCGGCGTATCAATCCGGCCCAGACGATCTCAACTGTGAATCCCGTATACAATACCACATGCAGGCCAGTCCTATCTGTCCCTCAAGGCTGAGATTTATTGTTACCCTGACGATGACCGTCAACATTCCGTTATATACTGCCACCTACAGGCCAGTCCTACTTGCTTTTTTCTGTCATTATTTTTATTGAGGGTTTTTTTCTCCTGTAAAATTAATCTAATCATTTTTATCTTTTTGCAAGGAGTTTTTTCCCCCCTCAATCATCATGTTTCTCATTGGACTACTAATTCAGAAACTATGAATTGCATTTTGTAAAGATTCGGCCTACCTCGTCTAAAACTCGCATGTAGATTTATTTTAACTTGCTTTGATGGGACCCCGACGGGTCTTTAATAAAAAATTATCAATCTATCTATCTATCTGCAAAAGTGCGGCTCCCAAACTGCAAAAGAAGTTCGAAGTAACCCAATGACAACATTTGCCGGAACTCCCCAAAATCTTATTTGGCTACATTCGGAGCACTGAAAGGACTCAGGAACTGATTTTTGTCCTCAGGTATGCGGACGAATAACTGGAGACCGACGATCAGATATTTTTCCTTTTTAATTCCTTTCAGCTGTTCTTCAACCTAGAACCTGATTCATTTTGCCCCTCCGCCGGCTCGCCAACTAATGTTCCCTCTAACTCCTACCCCCTCCTCCTCCTCCTCCGCCGCTACCTCCTCTTTCTAGTCCTCATCCTCCTCCCACTCCTCCTTTTCAACAGAGAAACTACATATTTCATCGGCCATGGTTAGGACCGAAGTACCCTATTTGAAGTCTTCCAAATCGCCTGGTTGGAACATAATTCCTGTACTAGCATTTCGAGGACTGAGCGTATCACTGGTTATCGTATTTCAAAAGTCATTTGAGGAAGGCAAGCTCTCGAGATGATGAACGTATGCATTCACCATCTTGATCCACAAAGAACTTTTACGACTTGACTGCGAAGATTATCGTCCAGTCAGCCTAACTCGCATCGAGTGTAAGGTAATTGAGCGTATTATCTAAAGACATTAAATAAGGATATTTGGGAAAAAACAAAATATTATGTGTTGTCAAACATGGCCTTCCTCA